AAACCTTTTCAGACGAGTGCGAGTTGAGAGTTACTTCATTCGTGTCAGTTCAGTGCTCCCATGAGTACATATAACGTGATTCTCTTCTGAATTTGGCCCATTTCTGCTCGTATTTTTCCATCAATGGATGGCGAGTGTAGTGGAAGCACTAACGAGTAATTTAATATCAACCTGGGATTGGGTTCTGTAGGCCCAACATGGAATGGGAAAATTTTGGAATGGGAAGAGTGAAAGAGAGATAAGAACGTAGATGTAAAAAGTAGTTGGCCAAATTAGTAATTCCCCGAATGGGCAGTGAAACTTTCTGGGTAGGGTTTGTTTGGTCAGACTTGCAGCCTCAACCCCTTGATAACGCAGACTGGGTCAGAATGGGTCAATCTTCACAGCATAATCCTACAAGTTGCCAGTATTGTAGCGGAGATGACATACAGCCACAGGTTTTGGAATGTCAAGCGTCCCATCAGTGACTTTTGGAAGGACACTGCTGCAGACATCATCGACCAATGTCTGCAGTGATTACGTGACGTCATGCGCAAAGAGGGCTCAAAACTAGCTGCACTGTCGAGCAGACCTATCTAGACCATGCAAGTGCGAAATCATGAACTAAGTATGCTCGATCGCGGATACTCGGTCGTGTGTATTCGGAAGCCGCAGTGAAGTGGCTAAATCAATGTGGCGTTCGCATTGTGGAAGGACGTAAGGGGGATGAGTGACGGTTGACAGTTACAATTCTTATCGGAAGGGATCGGGAAAAGGCCGGAGGTAAGATGTCTATCTCTAGGGGAAGAGGTGGTTTGGCCCAACGATCTAGCTAGAGGCGATGCTTCCAGGGTATTCAAGACCAACTTCACTCAAATGGTTCATACTTCCTCACCTCTCAAAGTGAGATGGTTAGGAAAGGAGAGGCAAGGTTGTGTTCTTTGGAGAAATTAACGAAAAATCCCTGCAAACTACCATTTGTTTACTGAAGCCGGCTGCAAAACCTGCAAATAGTACATAATTCGAATATAATAAATGTACATAATCATTCCACTTCTTACTACTAGGCAAGATATGTCCCGTAATGGGTGCGATTGAATGGGTGCGGGTGTGATTTCATCTCGTATCTAAAGTATTTATTATTACTGAACCTTCCGTCTCCAGACACATCAAGTTCAGGACTTTTATTTGGACCACCTAGTACAGTATATATATTTCTTGATCAATCAAGGCTCATAAAATAAGTGCGAAGGTCCTAACGTGCTTGTCTGCCGCACTCCTTCCTGGACGATTCTTAGAGCCGTGGTCTGCAGAGCACTCAATGTTTCAGGTTCGGCCTCTGATTAAAAAACAGCCGAAGATGTCAATGGCTACCGTTGCCTGACATAGGCGCAAACTGGCTGCAGCGAACTACTACAAGGTATCTTTTCAGTTAGCATTGAAATTATGTCAAGGGATACTGGAAACCTCAGCGGAGCCGCAAAGAAAAAGGCACGGTCTTGTGTACCCTTCGCGGGACCCCCAACATAGATCGCCGCCGGCCAATCAGAACGCAACCCCTGCCTACCTTGCCGGCCAATCAGAACGCAACCCCTGCCTACCTTGCCGGCCAATCAGAACGCAACCCCTGCCTACCTTGCCGGCCAATCAGAACGCAACCCCTGCCTACCTTGCCGTCCAATCAGATAATCAAATAAGAGTATTAGAGCCTCGGAGCTCCAGCGGGTTGTTATAATGACCGCGGTGCCGTATGGGCTATGCCTATGGGAGAAGTATTTCCCATTAACTCTCTATTGTGTTTTGGGGTTGTGTGAGGCAAGATCCGGTCACGCCGTCCTAGGTCGTCCGTCCCCTGCAGCCGTGTGAGGCCTGTCTCCCGTTCTACGTTTTTTGGTCGCGGTCGGACGTGTGCTCTCGTGTGTCTTTTCGCCTCTCCTCGGCCGTCTCACGCCGTGGTCGGTCGCTCGCTTTCTTCCGTCTATCCCCAGCAGCCCAACAATGACAGTAATAGTCCTCCTGAACGCCTCCAATCCATTATCTGTGATATTTCTTTTATTTCTTAATTTAACTTTAAATACTTGTTGTTTGAACACCGCTTTATTTTTTGTCATCAGTTGTCTCCTTAGACGGCATGTCCTGTCAGTGTAAAGATGCCGGACCCTTCCTTTGGCCTCCGTTTAACCGCTCGTGCTAAATTATCTTTCCCTTGCTTTCGGCCTAAAGTTAACGTTTTAAAAGTCCACTTCTAAGGCCCTCCACATGACAAATGACATTAATGGCTCACTTCTTGAAGAAAACCATAATTGACACTTGTCTCGCAGTGAGACACGACGAAAGATTCAGAGTTAAAATCAGTTTCATCGACCTGGGATCAAGAGAGTATTTTTCGTTATTTGTAACGGGGTCCAGGGCTAATTTTTTTTTTTGCACTCTGCCACGCGGGCACTGAACTCTTGGGCCCGCAACCTTTGGTCTCCATTTAAACCCAAAGCCGTCCACGCCGTTGCATGCCAAACACGGCTCTAAATGTTAACGCTTACTGTAGCGGGGATATGATGATGCTCGGACGAGAAATCACCCTGCAATAGCAGAAAACATTCGAGAAGCTGCAGAAACCGCAGGAGTCCTTGAGCGAGAAGGCATGAGAAGTGAAGTGGCAATGATCCCTGTCGCTGCCGATGAAGGTGATCGCCTGTCCATGCCAAAACCAAGATTTCTCAGCTATTCTCCCAACTCAAACGAGACATTTCGCTTTCCCCACCCACCCCTCCTCTGCTTTGTCCTTGGTGTTCTATGGGTCAGATGTGTGCACATGAAGATCATATGCTTCATTTCAAACAATTCCACCGTTGTCATAGACTAATGTGTAAGGGAATGGAGTACCTCAGAAGTCACTATGAATGATAGATTTGGAATCGTGTTAAAGCTCTGAAACCGCCTCGTTGCCTCTGAGGAAGGGCCCTGCCTTGTCGTTGAGAATCACATCCACAGAGTCCCTTCAATTCAGGGCAAAGCGTTCGATCGCGTGACCGACTTCGACCTTTCTCTTAAATATGATGTCCTTACACTCAGTAGGTAATCAGAGAACACGATCGCATGCGATCCTCCCGATTCCAAGATGAGTGGGTGCATGGTGTCATTTGGTGCTTTCTCACGAGCAGAGCTCAAGAATGCAAGTTTAATCATTGCCTCTCACTCTGGCGAGAGTTAATTTTATAAAGTGGATATATGTTAAATCTAAGTAATTCCTGGAAGACCTCTATTTTATATCTGATTGGAAAGAAAGTTCTCGGAATTTCTTGAATATCCAGTACAATTTTTTTCCAGAGCATGCTAGAATGTTCTGCGTGTGTTTANAATAATTGTTCATGAAATTCCGAGAACTTTCTTTCCAATCAGATAAATGGCGAAGGAGTTCACAATTGAAATCCTTTTTACGCTAGCTCGGTTTCTCCACATCCGACCCGGAATTTATCGGTGAACTGTGCCTTGCGAGCCCTACCTATTGAACGGGTCAGGTCAATCGGACCGAGTCACAATTTATAATGGAACCATATCCCATATTCGGCCCAAAAACCGATTGCCATCCGAGTAAATGCGCCCGACCTGCGAGTTTTATGGGTTAAAATTCCCTCTATACCAATCTCACTCTACCTTGTCTTCTTATTGATACTTGGACTTGTTCACGTAAGTTGCAGAAGCAAACGGGTGGAGTGAGGCGAAGAGAAATTATTTGATCTTCTGCTTTGCAGAGGGATCTGCCTTTCAGATGGTTTGTTTGAATGCCACTGGGTCATTTGAGGAATCGAAAGCTGAATCGAAGGCCATGTTTACATCACACGAGAGTCACACCAGAATTGGTGAATCCGAGGCAAGGATTTTTTTGCGATGGTGGAAGAATGCGAAAGATCTCTCAGACACTTGGTTGTCATAGGTCCAAATCCCGAAGAGCACAAACTTTACTTGCGAAAATTTGTAGCAGGGCTTCCCCAGCGTTGGCGGGGAAAAATCAACGAGCACCCTATGCCCTAGCTCATGCCCAACCTTGACCTGAAATACCCCACAAACATTGTTCGAGAGGTTGGGGTTGCTCCAAACACCGGGAACTTCTGCATGTCGGGGCGCATCGTGGTAGTAGACGAATCTTGCTTCGACGAGAGGAAATACAACCGCGGTCGTCTTCGACCTACCCGGTGGGAGGGATCGAGAGGGGAACCAACCGCAGCTCTTTGGTGTGAGTAAAAAAACCGGAACGCGGAGATTTCGCGAGAAATCCTTCGGGTAAACGTTCTTCTAGGGAGTGCCAAGACCGACGCCTGGAGGGCATACACTCGCTTCGTGCGAAATGATCCTTGAATCATACGCGGAATATCGAGGCGTATGGGTGCTTGATCAAAAGAGACAAGCGCCGACACGTCGGCTGCACGAGTGGTCAGACGTACGTAACTTACTCGATTGAGTTAGTCTAATGCTCGCGCATCGGACCAAAGCCGACGGAACAAAATCTGCAGATGGATTTGAGCGCCGCCATTCGTCACTTCGTTCCACAGTGACGCGTCCTCTCCCAACTTATGGTCATTTTCGAAGTCAAAATGCTAAATAATGACGCCATGCACGAGGCTCGCACACCCGCCGTCTTTGCAGTTGCTATTATGGCGGATTAAATGTTCGCATTTAATCACGGCTTGCATACATTGCATGAGCAGGGGCTGCGGCATCACGTGCACCTGAAATTGGGTTGTTTGCCTGGTGTTTGGTATCAATGGAAACGTTATGACGCATAGAATCGTAGCATTTTTATCGATAGACAAAAAATATATTTGCGCATGATTAATCGGTTTACACTAAAGTCTACCCTTTCGCCACGGGGAGCCACCTTTACCAAGCCCCAAACGAGTCTACTATACTAAGCGCCTAGCCCTATCTACGGGCCCATCTACTTCGCCACCTTTCCTCGAGATGTCGGTGCCGGTTCCACGCGGAAGCGCAGCAAATTCCACAAGTCAAACGCCAGACTCGACAGAACATATTCATTTCAAAGCGCTACAGTTTGTAAGCATTCTGTACTTCTACAAACAGGGGGAATAAAGGTTTAGTACAGAAACGAAATGCGAAAAGGAAACTTGTGAATATAGAGACAGCATTTGAAATGCAATTACTTCGGCAGAGGTACTTGCTCCGTCTCACCAGAACGGCCTTGGAACGTGACTCCAAAATCGATCACTCCTTCGAGCTCGAGTCCCTGCAAAGAGGAGGCCTGCGTGATCGAGACTGCCACTGCGTTATAAACCCCTGGATGAATCAATGAAAACAGTACTGTGGTCTTTCAACTTCAAAACTGACGAATTCAACCGCATCCCCTAACTATAATATTGGACCCGGTACAAATGTTCCATTTCGTCGACTTCTCTACTCGTGCAATCGTCTCCCTCGCCGCATCCTAACCATCCACCTTTAACGCAAAGCGTGGATTCAAGCAGCCATTCGTACAGCGTGGGCCTGCGTCAACGATCCCGGAGAAAGGATGAGAGTTAAGGGTAGGTGAATGAAGGAAGTGGTAATTTTATCGGTTGGCTGGCACCCTGACCCAGATTGGTGGTTGCACGTGCGCACTGAGTCCATTTTGCCTGATTTCTATGGAAACTGCGAACGGACTGAACGAAAAAGAGCTGCCACGTTCCCATCGTACCCATGGTAATGACAGATACTCAACCTCAAAGGAAGTCTCGAACTCGTGACATTCCAGAGATCCAACGATGACACTGACCTGACACTGTGGCCGGTTGAGCTGGTTGGCACCAAAAAGTCCAAGGAGTGCTCCAGAGTTCCGTTATTTGGACGAGCTTGGATTCCCAAGAGGTGACAGAGCAAAGGGTACACATCGATATTGTTGAAAACGAAATCCTCAGGAGATACGTAGCCCTGCTTGAATGCCGGGCCGTAGGCGACAAAGTAGGCCTGCATTTCGGGAAAGGAATTGTTGTATCCGTGGACCCCGATCATCTCGTTCCTCGGGTCTGGTCACAAACAAAATACTCGATATACGGCCTAGAAACATAAGGGCTCATTGGTGTCATCGGGGGAAAACGAAACCTTCGGGGATATTCAGCAACCAGGCATCATCACTGAAAGTATATCCTTTGTCGGCAACTATGTAAAATGGTGGGGAATGTGGTGTGGGTCCGTAATGCCATTCTTCGGGACTGTTTTCCGTTTTGTACACTGTGAATGGTCTCGTCATGGATGCAGTGAGGAATCCCTGATAAACTTCTTCCTCTTTCCCTGCCATATCGACGACAAAAAGAGAACATTTTCATCGTGAAAAGGATGGGAGGAGGGCAGCAACCTACCTTCCAACGGATAGATGAGCACAAGGGGAGAGTTTGTGGCATGCCAGTAATCACTGGGAGGGACGGGGATGGAGTCGAGGTGCAACGTCATGCTGCGATTCACTCCCAGCATCCCGTGGTCCGAAAGGAAGACGAGATTAGTCCCGTCTAAAAGGCTCAGGGCCTCGAGCCGCGACACGAGATATCCAAGCAATGCATCCACCATCTCCACCATCGCCTTCACCTCCGGAGATTCCGGTCCGTTATCGTGCCCCGTACTATCGGGTTCCTCCAAGTAGAAGACGACGAAATTGGCCGGTCGATCCGGGTCGACGAACCAGGACAGGGCGAGATCCACCCTCTCCTCCCACGGCACGCTCCCATCGTACAACGTGAGATGAGTCGGCACGGCTTCGTTCGGGCCCCAGTGAAACTGTCCTCCCGCCCACATGCTCACTCCCGAATATCTCCCGCTCGCTGCCTCTTCGTTCGACACCTGTTTCGTCACGGGAGTTAAGGACCCCAATCACAAATGGTGATTGGGGTCTTTAACAAACCAAGACCGTTGGACCATATTACGCGATTCCAAATCTTTAACTGTCTTCTCGCGCTGCAAAGAGAGACCTTTTCCGAGGGGAAGTAACTGTTTGCGCACGTTTTGCTGCCGTTTATTACACCTTGAATGTACGGATGATTCCTTGATCGAGTGGTTGGATATCAGACGTCGTGTTCGCTGGGAGAAACGGAATTTTCACATTTTTCAGTAGGATTCCTTCCTCAAACTTGCGACAAGCCGCGTTGTCGACGGACAAAAGGAATTTTCTCTTCTGCAGAACCTAGCCAAAACGCATATTTTTATTGATTTCTTTGTCCTCAAATCATCTGCAGGATCCAAGCATTTGTCAGCAACACATATTATTGATCTCATTTGCCATGGTGAAGTCAGAATCTGAGGACCTTGAGAGTGACGAGGTGCCTGTAGACGTCGAGCCAAATGTCACTCTCGGTGGAAATGCCAACATTAATTTCGTTGTGAGATACTTCTTCGTATTCATTTGTATTTTATTCAACGTAGGATCAGACACCAGACCAATCAGAAACAAAAAACGAAAATGTCGGAGATCCCTATATGGATCCTGATTTTCAGCCCACTGAAATCTCTAAAACGAGCGTCACCAAAAGGAAGGAATCTGGCGTCGTCCTCCTTCTGAGGCGCCTCCCACAGCCTGCACCACCCCTGAGCCCCCTAATGTTTCTCCTCCACTAATGCCAATCGAGTACTTCAGGAAGTATATTACGCCTGAACTGTTTGAATTGTTGGTGGAGAACACTAACATCTACGACCTTCAGAACAACGTTATAGGGTTCAAACCAACGAATATCTTCGAGATTCAAGCTCTTGCTGGTCTCCATCTCATTATTGGAAGCTTGAAGTTCACTGAAGACGTTGAAGAATGACATGGAGGAAAGAAATGAATGTGTCCTGCTTTTAACTTTTTCTGAAAATTACTCATTTCTGCTGCAAGATTCTCCACAGGAGTTTCACTGGGATAAATCCCAAGCTACGGCGCATCCGTTGCGGCCTGTTGCCACGAGAGTGGCGAACTGAAGCACAAAAGTCGTGTCGTCGTCAGCGATGAGCTCAATCACGTGAACGACGCAATGTATTAATTTCAAGCGGATGTAATCAAGCAACTCAAAATATTACTGCCAGACCTCAAAATTAGTGATTCCATTAGTGACGGTGCCTCAAACCAAAATAAAAACAAGATCTTTCAAAACCATTCTCGGAATAAAGATTTTGGGATGGATGCAGATTTGCATTTTTTTTTTAATGCTTGTGATGATGTGGGAGGAAACGTCAAGGAAAACGCTGCGAGGACATTTCTTCAGCGCACGACCAATAATCAAATCCGAACTCCATATGATCTTTGCCAGTAAGTAAACGTAGTTCTCTAAAATTTAGAGATAACATATGGTAAACATGTGCATCAACGTAGCTAGTGGAATTACAGTTGATTTGGTGCCTAAAGAAATTCAGTAAATATATTATTAGACAAATGATGGATGATCTTTTCTGGCAGCCATTCGGTATAGCACACGCAGCAATTTTTGAAATGCCAACTTCCCAACTTCAAAGCATAAAATGTTTGGAAAAGTTTTAATTTTCCCTCAAAATATATATTTTTTTGAGTAAATTAACTCTAAAAAGAAAGTTGAAGCATAAAAATGAGAGACCATTGGTTGTCGAAAACCATACAGCACATGGGCATGACTGAGTACTCCACGGTGTTCAATTCGGGAAAACTTCATTAATTCCTTTTTATTTAGCAGATGGACATCTGAAAACCGTAAAACATCCATTGTTGGACAGATTACAAGAGACGTCGAAAAGACACGCCTGATGTTCTAACCCCGCCATGCCACAGCAGCCCGCATCCTCTTGGGGTCGATCGTATAACATGTTCAAGCCACTAGGAGATGTCGACTTGACAAGTCCAGGCCGGAATTTCGAGATTTACCTGACCAATGCGATACATACATGATGGATGTGACAGTCGATATTTCTTGCCGGGTTCAGCATTTGGTTGAGGTGGAGTTCCTAAGCGCCGAACTTGTCAAAATGATGGAGCTGTCAGCTCTTTGCAGGAAAAGCCTCTGAAAACCATGGCTCATGGGACGACGAAAAGACCCTACCTCCCGCACATGCACATCAATCTGAAGCGCAACCACCCCTTCAGCTGAAGTACCCCCAGACCGAGTCTCGACTCATTCTGCATTCGAAAGTATACTCGACGTACCGTCCCGGTGCGTCGAGTATACTTTCGATGCAGAATGAAATGGGGACCATTTCCTTCCACATAGCCTACGGCCTATGAAGGTATAGGGTCTTAGGCTACGCTACGCGCGTCAGGCTAAGACGGTATAACTGTCAAATTCGCGTCAAGGGACTTCCGAGTAAATGAGTGAACCTCTCTCGCTAAGGTTCACAAAAACACCGAGAGTGTGTCCCTCACCCGTTACGTAGGCTTACCCAGATGGGGATGATGCGTGGGTCCGCGGTAGCGAATTTCTCGCCGTCGTCGAACATGTTCACCAATTCTCCCGTCTCGGAATCGATGATATCGTTTGCTAAGATCCCGTGAGTCTCGGCGTAGAGACCCGTGGCGATGGCTTGATGATTCACGAAGGTGATGGACGGGAAGATCGGCTTCAACTTCGCCACGTAGACTCCATTCTCCCTCAACGCGTCCAAATGAGGTGTATCGGCGAGGGAAAGGTAATCGTGTCGGAATCCGTCGCACGAAATCATCATGACTCAGTCTTGCGCTCCGGCACGCCGTCCCGACAACAATACGAACAGAGGGAGTAAAACACTAAGCCTACTCCAGTCGAACGCTGCTACCTTCATCCCCATCGGTCGAGGAACGAGCAGAGATGGTGAGAAAACCCTAAAGGTACAACACTGAAGTTGCCTAGAGCTGGACACACTGGGCGTGGCAATAGCAGACTGCTCTCCTTCCCCACCGGAGTTTCTATCTCTTTTCGGTTTTCCATTGAGTATCATCACTCCAGTGGAAACACTGAAAGCAACGTACATCCTAGGATGTGAATCACGGAGCACTTCAAAACTATGTCAAGAGATACAGATGAGAAATGAATCCTTGAGAAGTGGCCGCAAGGAAGTCTTGAGGTAAAAAGCTTACGGTACCGCTCGAACGTATTGCTCCAGAGGCAAGAATTTGTCACGGACTCGTACGAGAGCTTCCCCAGATCGCGCCGTGCGATTATGCAGAAACTAATTATGGTCAGCTTTACTACTGGCAAAAGTTTTCGTGGGAAGCGTAATTATGGTTGTACATGGTTCTTATGTTAATGTTCCAGAAACAATTGAGCATAGGTTCTTCCGCCTAACTCATGTTACACGAGGACAGACAGTCATCACTACTCCCTGAAAGCTACCGATAACGTAAACGGTCATGACCCCTTCATTGAATCCACGATGGTTAAGAAATAAACCTCTGATCGCTTCCCTCGTGAATTAGTTTTCGGCATCGTGCAAAGTTGCAGCCGTGGTTAGGAGAATGAAAACGTTTCATCCACCAATGCCACACTCGTAAAGTATTGGAAATCCAGCGGGAAAACGGAGAGGCGCGTTTCTTCCAGCTCGGCCGACTTGAGTGCATGGAGAAGAGAACCTCCAGTTTCAGAGTGCAAACGATCGCCCAGAATCCGATCGGCTGCATGGAGTTCAATGTCAAGTTTCTAATGTACTCGGTGATTTTTTTTTCACAAAATTCGTCCGTAGGTATAGAGGATGCTTCAGTAATGTCTGCGCATAGTTCCGTCAATCCAGGCTACATCTAGAAAAATATAGTCTAGGATACCCCAAGCCGTTGTCATTCACAAGCGTACCAATACACAATAATTTCTTGTCCTTCTCAAAACCTACGCCCTAGAAGAGCGTAGGCTTGTATATGAGGTAGCAGATTTATAGGTCGAACTAAAGTTCATGAATTCCGACTTATAAATCTGAGCCCAATGGTCTTGGATTCTCAAAAGCAGGACAATTGCCCGTCGTGCATACGCTGAACCACAAGAGCTACATGAGTATGAGACTTGAGATTTAAGATGGTTCCATCTGAACTGATCGTTTTGAAGAAATGGTTGGAGAGGAAAACGTTCTCGTTAATAGTACAACAAATTGGATATACTCCTCATTCTAAAGGCAATTCCAGTTACAACCTCTGTGTACGTTCCATCGACTGTCAATGAGTGAGTAGCCCGATAGGGAGACTTTTGGAGCCAAACTGAAGTAATATTTCAGGACAAGTAGCTGGCTAACGACGTTCAGCACTGACAGACGCCATGCTCAATTTGTCCTGCCGGACTCCTTAAAGCTTTCACTGGTAACGTGCTACTTCCCTCGATGACGAGTGAGAAACAGGAAACTTTCTGACGCTCACTAATTGGAAAGAAATGATAAAACCAATGGAGCTTTGAAGTGTTGTGCCTTATTAACACATTGCGTATCGGATATTTTACCCCGTCGATCCGACCTAAGCCTCAGTTACTTCAGCCTTGTAGGCACCGAGTTATAGGCTATGACTTTTTCGGCCAAAGGCTAGACGAAAGAACTCAAAAACGGAGATCTCCGTGAGCAGTACGCAAAAAATGTTAAGAAGCAAAGAAATAATCCACGTCAATACTTCCCAGAATTCATAGAGTTCCGTGGTATCTCCATTCGCCAGGTCATCCCCCCCCCC